CCCCGCTCCCCCTCCCCGGTGCCTCGCCCATGTGTCCGCCTGTGTCTGCCGACTTCAGTCGATGTCACCTCGATCGACAAGCGCTCGCTTGCCAAGATGCAAGCGTCTGAAGATCGCCTGGAGGACATCATCCAGAGCTACCAGCGGTCGGCCCAGTTCAAGGATGTGTCCAAGAAGCTGGGGGCCCTTCGCCGCTGCCACGGGCTCCCGAGCCCGGAGGATACCTGTCCCTCGACCTTCAGCCACCCGTCGGAGCTGTCGCTTTCCAGTCGGGGCAGCTCCGACACCGGGTCCCCGGGGGCCTTGCACAACCGCGACCCGACCGCCAGCCAGCAGACGCTCCTGCGCATTGACACCAACTTCGGCGGTGCGAGGACGGTCCATTACAATGGCAACCGCATCTACGTCTTTTGGGTGTTGATGCTTCGATTCATGACCAACCTCCGGCGAAACTAGTACGTGTCCCCCGAGGAGCCGCGAGGGGCGGAGAGAACGTCGGCCCATGCCCCCGGCCTGGGCCAAGTCCATCGAACGGATGACCGTCGTGGCGGAAAGGCCGGCCACAGCTTGTGCCCGGCCTCCAGGGGGGAGGGGGGCGTCCTTGCATATGGCAAACCGCAAACCGCAAACCCCCGTACAGCCACTTACCTCGTTGCCTCCCTCCACCATTCTCCCCTTGTCCATGCGAATGTGCCGGCCTGTGTGTGTGTGTGTGTGTACCTCGCAGCATGGCTTGGTATATGCGCATTGGCCAGATGTCCCTCTTTGGCCTGCTGATGGACGTGTATCTGTTGAAGTTTGGCTTTGACCAGGCCAGTGTCCAGAACCGCAGCGGGTTCATGTATCAAATTATCACCATGGCCACGGTGCTTGGCAGCATGAATGCCATGGCCAATTGTGCGTTTCCTTCGGCTCGCCTTTCGCGCCGCCCCCTGACTTTTCCGGCTGGGTGGGGGGGGGGGGGGGGGGGGGGGGGCGTGGATTTTCATCTCCCATCTTTCTAGCGCAGGAGAGGGGGGAAGAGGGGCGGCTATCTTCGCCCATCCTTATTGGCCATATGCCCCGCCTGCCGGGGGGAGTGGCGGGTCCCCCCCCTACATGGACCTAACCCACCCTCCGCTCTCGGGCCCGCTGGGGTCACCCCAAGTCCCCGAACTCCGGGACATGTACCTGCGCGAACGCAAGGAGAAGCTCTACAATGCATTCCAGTTCTTCGCGGCCTACACCATGCACAGCTTGCCCTCCAGCATCGTGGCATCCTTCCTCTTTAGCCTGCTCACATACTTCCCGCTGGGGATGCAGCAGGACTCCGGCACCTATGCCTCCTATCTGGGCGTCGTGTTGATCCTGCACCTATTTGGCGAATGCCTTGGGGTTTGTCTGGTGCGCGTCAGGCACATGTGCAGGAGTGTTCACAAGCGCTCGAAGGCGGGCAAAGGCCACACCTCACTGTCACATGTCCCGCTTTGTGGCGAGGCAACTTTTGCCCGGGCTTTGGCCGATCTTTCCTGCTCCTTTGTGCTCCCTCCTCGCGCTCTTTCTCTGCTTCTCGCCGGCTTTTTGTCCCTGCATCTCTCGGCTCGCGCTGCTTCACTGCCTCCTATAACTGACTGATCGCTCTCGCCCCCCTCCCCCTGCCACCTGCCGCCGCCTCCGTGGCCACTCCACTGGACCTTCGTCTCATTCGTGGAACACCTCTAGCTCGCCCTCACGCGAGATGTCACCCTGGCAAATAGCCTGGCCACCATGATAAGTGCCATGTTCAGTCTCGTCGGATCCGGCTTCATTCGCAGCCTCGAGACGATGCCCCTACCACTGAAGATGCTTGGCTGGGCGACGCCCAACAAGTATGCCACCGAGGTATGTGTCCGGCCCAGTGCAACATGAGGCCTCTTCCTCGCGGCCGCCCCCCCCCCCCTGTGCACCGGCAGGGCGAGGGGAGGGTCTCGAGAAGCCGGCCCTTTTTCGAGGGAGTTGCATTTTTTTTCCCCCGCCACCTGCGGGTCGGGCGCGGTGTGCTAACACACGCGCATATCACGTTCCGCGAATGCAAATGATGAAGATCCTGGTTGCGGGGCAAATTGGCGGGCTGGAGCTGAATTGCGACAACCCGAAATTCCCCTGCCGCTATTTGAGCGGCGACCAGTTCCTGGAGATGTTCTACCCGAATGCCGTGAAGAACTTCGCCTACAACTGGATCGGCGTCAGCGGCTTCCTGGTCGTTATCTCGGCCATCGCCGTCTTCTTGGTCGCCTTCGACCGGACGAGGGTCACCAGCTAGTTGTGTGCCTCCCCGCGATGCGAGGGGGTGTCCCGGGAAACGGGGCGATATTATGGTCCCAGTTTACCTGGCGTCAAACCCGCGTACCATCCTCCCGCCGGCTCTTTCTTTCGCGCGCGCACCGTCTTGCTATGTCCCTCGGGTGGCATGTTGCACACGCCGGTAGGGGTGAGGAAGACCGGGGGGGGGGGGTGGAGGAGGGGAGACGCCTCACATCCCGATTTTCCAGAGGGGGGGACCCCCCATAGATTGATTGCCGGCGCCGCCCCTCCCACCCCCCCACCCCCCCCTCCCCCCTGGCATGACAAAATGCGAACCTATGCGGGTGATTGCCCCATTCCCAGGGCACGCAGTCGGCCACGCGGGACATTGTGCCGGATGCCGTCAGAAGCGCACGCCATCACACCACGAGGAACAGCGCGAAGAGCCTCATGATGATCTCATGATAGCCAACAGAATTTTTGTGTAGATCTACCACTATAGAAAGCGATGCAAGAGGAGGAGTCTGAGAAAAGCCAGGGCGTAGCGGGGGGGAGGAAGGAGGAGAGCGGCCGTGTGCCCGCGAGCATGCATTAGGTGTGTTAGGCAGGCGAGAAGGGTGCAATGCAAGCGACATGCACTGGCCTCAAGGGAATCCCTCGTCATATGGCCCCACCGCAATAGACCTCTTCCTTCTCTCCAGATGTGTGTGCCCGTAAACTTCACCAAAAGGAAGCATGGTCGCATTCCATCGTCGACAGACATTGGAAGGCACCGGAGGAGAAGGAAGATCAACAAAGAAAGTCCAGGGAAATGTGTCCTGAGCAGGGCTTGCAATAGATACTCGAGCGCCGCTTTGGTCCTGCACCGGAACTGATGGGGCTGGTGGGGACGGAGATAGAAGAGGACATGAGAGGGATGGTGCGGGAAAAAGGAAAGGGGGTGGGGGGAAGAGGAAAGGAAGTGTGTGTGTGTGTG